ATTTCAAATCATTTTATATATTAGACAATGAAAGTCCGAACTAGTGAAATTAATCATGAAACGTTGTCAATCACCTTCAAACAAAGAGATAGTTACTTTTACTTCAGTTACATTTTTTTCAAATTCTACTCCATTTATGGGTACTTTTAATGTAAATAATTATTAGGTACTTATTGCAGGTAGAACAAAAATCAACAAAAATATGTGTGAAGTTCATTTTGTTTAAAGTAATAAACGTAATATTTCGTAGAAATTTCAATACAATATGTCATGTTGACATTTGTTGACATGTTTTTTACTACTTTTGCACCTTGCATCAACGGGTAAAGTTCGTCTCTTGAAAAAGAAGAGAAGTTGACAAGATACCCCGCAGAAAAAAGAAGACGGTTTACTATTATGTGGTTAGATTAGAAATGTCAGTTTTTAATAAGAAAAATGAAGTTTGTTTGTAGAATATGAAAACGAGAACGTACTCGTTGAACTGTTCNTATCTCTCTCTCTGTGATTTCTAAGGTATTTGCTCTTCATTCGAGCGCATTTGGCCAAGGTTCTCCTGTTCATAGTAAACAGAAGCTTCGTCCGGGGGCGCAGCGGTCTTTTTCAAGACAATGCTGCCACCCTAAGTTTTTTCAATAATTTTTCTTTCAACAAAAGCACTTTATTTCCTGCTGATCGCCTCCTTCTACACATGATCATATGTTTCATAGTACTGACGACTTCGAGTCCGCTGTTGCGATCGGAGAGAAAATATCGAGTGGAAAGTGACCATTTCGAGATTAAAGTCGAAATTTCGAGTTCAAAGTCGTAATTCCGATTGAGAGCAGTGACATTCACATTCCCCTTGTGAAAACTGCATCGATGGGATCGATCGCATGCATTTGTGGTTCCGCCTAGCACCACTTATGAGACATATAATGAATGACTCTATCTAGAATGAGATCATTGCCAACAAAACACATTCAAAGACATCAAAGGTGAACCACTCAGAATTATTTTGACAAAATTGAAGTAACGTTTAATGAATTCTTAAGTTTCAAAGGAACTTGCAATAAATAATATATCTGAGAGAGTACTTGATGAAAAATATTGATTCTTTTTATTTTATTGAATTTTGGAAGCGTTTCAATTTATTTTCCCCAGGAGAATGAATAAATATTTCGGTTGGTAACACTCAAAAATCATTATATTTCTACCAATCGAATTTCAGAAAGTTTCGAACGTTGACCAATGAAAACGCTTCAATTGGCGTCACTGTTCAGTTCTAGTTACCTGATTGCCTTATTTATTGGAGTGCTGTACTTCTCGATTATTCAGTCAGACTAGTTGGAGTTTCATTTCACGTTATTGTGTTGAGCTTGGAGTTGTTTTCGTTGTTTAACAGTGAGTAATTTGAAGTATTTTGAAACGAAGTGTATTTTGGATAATTTCATCCACGATCATTGATAGTCTTTTTTTGCATAAGATTCAAACAATTTCGTGAAAATTTGAAAATGTTTGGACCTTGGCTGGTATCTGTTGTTTAGGCAGGGCGACGCCATTTTGTATTGGTGGGAGAATTTGTAATTGGAATTAGCAATAAGTATCTAGAATAAAATTATCTTTGTTTTACACTTTGCAAACTTTGTTCTTTCGAGGAAAATTTTGAATATACAACGTATACTTCTGTTGTGATTTTTTTAACTTGCTAGTAAGTTTTGGCGCGAACTATTAGTTTTTCTTTTTAGGTCGTAATTCGAGATGGCACGTACTAAGCAAACTGCACGTAAGTCTACAGGAGGTAAAGCTCCTCGTAAACAGCTAGCTACAAAAGCTGCAAGAAAGTCGGCGCCCTCCACAGGAGGAGTAAAGAAGCCCCATCGTTATCGTCCTGGTACAGTAGCTCTCAGAGAAATCAGAAGATACCAAAAATCTACAGAATTGCTTATCAGAAAATTACCATTCCAACGGTTAGTGAGAGAAATTGCACAGGATTTCAAAACTGATCTCCGTTTCCAATCTGCTGCCATTGGCGCTCTACAGGTAATGACTTTTGCATTTTTATATACTGATTTTGGTTGCTTATTCCATTTTCGCTATTACCTGTTTCATTTCCTTATACACCTTTCACCATTTGATTCTAAGTTCCTTCGAGCAGAGTCCGATGTATCAGATTTGGCTATCAATAATCCTCTAATTTTGATACTATCAAGTCAGTAGAAGCTGATAGAACAACTCCAAGTAATAAAATGGCCGTCAATTATTGATTCATTAAAAGTCTATGGAAATTTATAAAAAGCGGACTTTCAAGACTGCATAGAAATATTGCTAAAGTAAATATGGTTTGTTCAACAGTAAATAAGTCAAAGATTTGTCTTATTCTAAGTTTGTCTACAGCAAAGTAGATAACAGGAACGGCTAATCGTTAATAAAACCATTCCATGTCATATATAGATATTTTTTAGTTATTAAACTAGTTTAATGAAATTTATCAGTGACGTTTTATGAAGAATGAAAGAAATCAGCAAGTCAGGCAGGAAAACAAACTATTGTTGGCTAGTTTGTTTTCCTTATTTGAGTCAATGCAACAACTTTTTGGAGAGATTTCGATCTTCTCCTTACTTTATAGATTTTCTAATTTTGAGTGGTCTCCATATAAATAACTTCATTACCAGATAACTATTGTAATTCAAACCTAGTGAACATTTTTTTTCTTTATATTTTCAATATACTGATGAATGCAGCAGACGTGTTTCTTACAGTTTCTGATTTTTCCGTGCTGACACTCCTCATCTTCAACAGTCGATATAGTTTGAGGAGTAATCGGCTGAGCTTTATTTAAAATCACTCTAGCAGTTCTTAGTTGTTGTGATATTATTTTGGCATGGTCTCCCAAGGAACCTTGTTTGTTTTTGATTATGGTGTATACATTTCCTTGGTTTATATCTGTGTGTGTCCCACAATTCTAGAAATTGAGAAAATCTTCAATACATTGTACTTAATGCTGTTGTATTTTTACAGGAAGCAAGTGAAGCCTACTTAGTAGGTTTGTTTGAAGACACCAACTTATGCGCCATCCACGCAAAGAGAGTAACTATTATGCCTAAGGACATCCAGTTGGCTCGCCGAATCCGTGGAGAAAGAGCTTAATTTATTATATATCACTTCTTACATGAATTCATTGTAACTTTCTTTGTTCATTTTCTTACGAACTTTCCATCCTGCCAAGTAGAAACATAGTTTTGGATATGTTATGACCATCATTCCTATGCACAATATATATTAACAATCTGCAACTCCGTAGGTGTTGGTTACTTTGTTTATATATATTTATATCATATCGTTCGATTATTTGTATGTGTTTGTATCACAGGTTGTGTTCGAATGGAAGTTTGTTTTAAATTTTTCACAGGATGTATTAGTTCATAGATTTAAGTTATTTTATAGTCATGTGTTGATAATTTTTTAGATTCTAAGGTTTTATAAAATTCTAAGTCTTGTACTGTCTTGATTCGGAATATAACTCAGTTGTGAATATAGTCTGGATTTTTATTCCATTGACGTGATGAATATGATTGTATTAGTAAAGGTTCTAAATCAATCTATCGTTCACATTTTCAATAAAATCTCACTTGGTTAGTCTGCTTTAGAGAGAGATCTTGGATACATGCGGCTGTGTAGAAAAATCGCAGTTCCACATTTATAACACATATTTTTACCGTTAAACCTTAAATGAAATTTCGAGACAAATCAATAGGTCTATCTTCAGGTGATGAACCGTCTCTGGAATAGATATGAAAAGGTAAAGATGAGTACAGAAAAATGATGAAATTCATCACAGGGATATCCACAAAGATGTTTACTTCGTCAATTAGGTTTGTTCGAAATCTGTTATTGACCAGGATTCGTGTAAATTTACATTTATATGTAGTTATCCATGGTTTTCTAGTCATACCTCCATCAAGAAAGTTGGAATAGAGTAGGATCCTTGGGCGGTGTTGCCAAGTCTTATGAACATGTGAGATTATTCAGGCACCGTATAGACATTGTCTAAATCCTTAGACAATGGTATAGACACCGTAATAGAAGTAAACACTACGGTTTGAGGATAGACAATGACGGTGATTCAGGCAAGTTTTGTATATGAAGTCCTCCCTTTTGCGTTCAGCACATCATAAAACGCTGACGGCAGGTAGGCTCAATAAGCATCCAGTCTTTGCCATATCTTGAATAAAGTCTGTGAATCCAAACAAGTCTTTTTGAGGGGAAAGTTCCAGTGGCTCAAACCTGTAGTTTGCACTACTACAAACTATAAGTGAAAGGGGAAAACAGAAAAAAATCGTATTCATTAAAATTTTTGTTTTCCTTAATAATGCAGGAATGTTATTGACTTTTTGAAAGATGTTAAGTTGTTTCAATAGTTTTGTCGATTTTCTCGAGTCTAATTTAAACTGTAATATGTCGGTGAGTAATTATTCAATTCAATTGAATAAACGCCATTTGAATCACTGTACTTTTGGCAACGTAACACAAGTCTATCAATTCCGTCAGCAACAAATTATATGCTCGGGATTTGATGAAGTCGGAAAAGGCTGTTTTTGCCTGGTTCTGATTGGCGAAGGTTCTACCAGTGAGAAAGTTAACGAAGTGCTTGAAAAAATGGTAGTCGGTTGGCGAGAGATCTGGGGAGTATGATGGCTGAGGCAAAACTTCAATTCGTTTAATTTTCGGACGGTGATTTGTTGTGAAACGGACCATGTCGTTTTTTCTGTTTCGTCGATTTCCTCGCAATAGGACTATGCTGTGATGGTTTGGCCCCGTTGCAGAAAATTATAGTGAATCAGACCAGCCGCTGACCACCATACAGTAACCATAGTCTTTTTTGGTGGGTTTATGCTTTTGGGAACTGTCTGATGGGTGGCTCATCGGTGTCCAACCACTGACCTGCAAAGAAGAACAGACCTCTAAATTGACAATTTGTGTCGATTCTTCAAATCGTGGGTCAAATCCACTTTTTATCACACGTGATGCGACCTAAAAAAGGATCGTTTTGGTTGAGCAAAAGCAAAGAACAAACCTCGAAACGTTATAATTTCTGTCTATCGTTGAAATCGTGAGACACCCACTTTTCGAGCTTATTGACCATTTCAATACGTTTCAAACGATTAAAAACCCCATGTGAGCTGACGCCCAGTTCTTCCGCTATCCCACGCACCGTTTGTGATGGGTCAGGGTCCTCAAATCCTCTTCCGGGATTACTCGTAAGTTGACCACTTCGGGGCTAATCTTCAAAGCTCAGATACATCTCTGGAACGGAATTTCGCAAACTAACATCGAATAGTGCGTTCATCAACACTATTATTGCCAGATGATTGGTTCATTTTTCGAGCTGTTTCGGCAGCTTGAGTAAAGTGGGGATGTTGAAGGGTTAATCAAGTTTTTTTACATATAGCTCGTCTCAGTTCTCAATATTAACCCAGAATATGCATTTTCTGTACATACTTTCAATATTTAATGCCCATTTTGAAAAAATTACTCCAGTCTACAAATTAGGCATAACCCTTACTTTAGCACCCTTGCCTGTTGTCAAGGATCATCCTGTATTGAATTATCTCGTACCCACAGAACCCTCTGTGCTCGTACCTTCAGCATACAAAAATGTTCACGAGAGTCAAAACTTAGGTATTATTACCATTATACAAAGAATTACTCTTCAAATATCACAAGTTCCAAGTCGCAAAGCTAATTTTTTCCTAACCTCACACCTTGTAGATAATTAATTCAAGGAATAGCACACCCAAAATAAAACCATAATTTTTGTGTAGTATTCCATAAAAATATAACCTTAAACACATTTGCCAAGAATCAATAGCCATTCGTAGATTTTGTAGAAGAGATAAAATCATGAAAATAAAAAGTGAATATTATACATTCCCATTGTTCAAAAAAAATGTATAAATAAACTACCTTTCAAAAGTAAATGGGTTGCATTAATTTTTTAAATTGATGGTTTTCAAAATGTATTGTGGTGTCCTGAAAATATCTTCATGCTTGGACTTTGGACTGAATTCAAGAATTTAACATTGGGAAATAAAATCTGGACAACCTAGTTATATATTAAATGTCATTATATTTACAATATTCTAGAAAAACAACATTAAAAATATTTCGACAAATGAAGTAAATAACAAAATCTACAATATTTATGGTGGGTTAGAAAAGCATAAGGTAGAACAATCAATTACATATTGATAAGCAACTGCTTCACTCCTTGCTGAAGGGAAACGGGGGGATGGATTTCAACTCATCAATGTCAAAAGTTAATAAATCGGCAGTACGTAGATATTCACATTCCTTTTTACTTTTCAGTTGTTCATATTTCTTTTCCATTTTATATTTCTCAAGATAGATCTTTTTATATTCCTCTCCAGCTTCTTTAATCTTCATCTTCAAGGTACTGATTTCCTGATCTTGTAATTTCAAAGCAGTGTTCAGGCGGTCAGTTATTTCATAAAGTTGTTTGATATCTTTATCATAATTTTTCGTTTCTTCAGGAGTTTTCGAAGTTAATGCCTTCAGTGCGCTACGCAGCAAGGCATTTTCTTCTTTCAGGTTTTTCAGCTCAGTTTCAGATGAATGAAGAACTTCTGGGCTGCTTTTGATTTTCTCTTCAAACACAGAAGCAGACGGAACTTCTTCTGACTTTACCACAATAGATTTCTCGGATGAAAATTGGAAGGAAGAACTTGCTCCATGTAATTCATTCTCACTACTCAAATAGCATATCTGATAAATTTCAATGTTGTTTTTTGGGAGAATGTGTTTATTGAAAGAAATAGTATGAATCGTTTCTGTGGATCCAACAGGGGCCCATTCGAAAACAACATAATCCTTCACGAAACACCAACCTACTTTGAAAATAGCAATTCTATCACCTTCCTGAGGAATATAATCATTGAATTTGTAAGTACAAATCAAGTCTTCACTGTAACAGTACTGATCCATAACATTCAAAAATTCTACAGCAGGCTTCATGGATACAAAATTGGATTCCACACTATTTTCAGCCATGGTAAAGTATCATAAGAACTCGAAGCATATAACGTACTTAACAAATACAAAGACACTGTACGATTGTACGCTGTTCTGGGAATCACCTCTTTTCTTTCTTGTTATAACTTTATCATTTGAATAACGTCATTGAATTTTTTTCAAGTGTTTTTATTCCTATTGTCATTTGTGATTTTGTCTCTGTCAATCTGTCAGATAACTCACAAAAAGGCTGTGGCTAGCATCCCGTAACGGGACTCAGCGCCCATCCCGTCTATCATAACAAATAGACAATTGGAGGCAAGCGTTGCATCAATATCCACATGTTAATTGAATTATACTATAACTTCAAAATAGTAGGCACTAAATTCTCAGAAATGACTATGACGTTTTTGCCTCAAATGAAAATGTTACAAAATTCTCATCCATTAGTTTCCCCGAGCAACATAAACCAACAGAAAGATTTAGAGATAGATTAAATGCTATAATAGATTTTCCTCTAGAAAGTTCAGATATGAGGAATTATATAGCTGACAAAATCTGGCCACCAACAATCTCTATACATTATGGAATCACTATAGAACCACGTAGAGTGACTATTATAGAGAATTCTGTGGCACAAACATATTGATTCGTGTATGTCCATTTTCTCCAAATTCCCTTTTGAGTGACTTATGTACTCTTCTACGAAGAGATAGTAGGATACGTGGGAAAGTATCTGGGATAGTATCTGAACGACGAATCCAACCACCATCAATCTACTAAAAGAGGAATCATCAAGACTCTATTAGAGCGTACTTTCGGGCTCTGTAACACGAAGGAAGGTCTCGAGAAAGAACTAGACATCATCGAAAATGATCTTCAACGGAATGACTACTCCAAAGCGATTGTAGAAAAGATTTTGGCTAAAAGACAGCAGGAGCCTAGCAAGGAAGAGAAGTCGTCACAACCAGTGCTTGCACTTCCCTACATCACAGGATTATTGGAAATAATCCGCTGCCAAACCAACAAACATAACGATTTTCGTCACTTATCACTCATTTCTCTCATTGTCTATTTGTCAATTACATGTACAAACGCATATGAATTATTATTTTTAATTCTTCTTTTTTAGTTGTTTCAGCGATTTCAAATCATTTTATATATTAGACAATGAAAGTCTGAACTAGTGAAATTAATCATGAAACGTTGTCAATCACCTTCAAACAAAGAGATACTTTTACTTCAGTTACAATTTACAAGTACCTAATAATTATTAGGTACTTATTGCAGGTAGAACAAATCAACAAAAATATGTCTGAAGTTCATTTTGTTTAAAGTAATAAACGTAATATTTCGTAGAAATTTCAATACAATATGTCATGTTGACATGTTTTTTACTAGTTTTGCACCTTGCGGCAACTTGCGTCAACGGATAACGTTCGTCTCTTGAAAAAGAAGAGAGGTTGACAAGATACCCCGCAGAAAAAAGAAGACGGTTTACTATTATGTGGTTAGATTAGAAATGTCAGTTTTTAATAAGGAAAATGAAGTTTGTTTGTAGAATATGAAAACGAGAACGTACTCGTTGAACTGTTCATATTACAACGAACAGCATAAATTAGGATAAATTATCATGGTAAATATAGTTCTATATCAAAACAGTCATAACTATAACTCAGAATCTGAACTCACGTTTCAGTGTTATTAATTTTTCATATACACCATTATTATTTTGATTATTATTATTAGCCTATGTTTATTTTATAAGACGTATTTCAGAATAAATATTGAAACTTGAAGGATACGTGAATGGTTTTTTCAAAACATGAAATATTTTTGTTTACTTTTTTGTAGGATCTGGGAGAAAATGGCTCTTTGAATGCTCTGGAGCATTTATTGGATGAATTTTTCAACCCCTCGACAAGTAATCACCGAAAACATGAAATAGAACTACAACTCAATTATTTCAAGTCTCTGCCCCACTTATCCAACTATTGCATTTATTTCATTACAAATACATCTAGCCAATATGTAAAAATGTTTGCCTTATCCACATTAGAGGTGAGATACCAAAAATATGTTTTTGTGATCCATACTACTGTTTCTTATTTTTAGTCTGTGATAAAACAGCAATGGAGTGCCATTGAGTGGTCTTCTAAAGAAGAAATTAAAGGTGTCCTACACAATTATTTGATAGAACAAGGGCATTCAACATCTCACTTTTTTAGGAGTAAATATGCTAAATTATTAGTGGAAATAGCAAAGCAGGATTGGCCAAGTAGATACCCCAATTTTTTCAATAATATCTTGGAGGTAAGAGCTGGTTTTGTGAAAATAAATTGAAAATGCCTATTCTTCAAATTTTTATTATGAAGTATTAGTGTTTTGATAGCTGGTTAAAAATAACCTCTTCATATGCCTAATAATTTACAGTTAATTCGTTGTGTAACACGAGAACATATTTTCATAAACAGGTCATATAGACGATAGTTTTAGGACTTATATGAAAGGTTTTTTTCAACAGTATTAAAAGCAAAATGATAAATTATTAAAAAAAGACATTAACATTCACTATGATTGCGTTGGTTTGCTCAAAAAGAAAATTGAGAATATATCTGCATTTCTTCAATTAAATGATATTGTAAAATCTTGTAATGAATTATATCAAATATTTTTTGTAAAAGTTTGTAAGTTCTTGAATGTTAATTGTGACGTAGTCAATGTTCTATTTTGTGCAGTTATTGAGAACAGAGGGAAACCAGCTGATAGGTTTGGTTCTTTTGAAGACTACTAGCGAAGAGTTCATGGGGTTGCATGCAAGTTATGAAAATAATTCTAGGAAAGAAGAAATTATAAGACTGTTACAACAATACATTCCTGTAGTTTTTCAAGTAGTAACAAACATTTTAGAGAACTTGGGTAAGTATATTTCTATAGAAAATCATTTGAAGTCCACTTGAATAATTCTCAACTAATCTTTAATGACTTGATTCAACTTTTATAGTAATGAGTCTAATTGTTGTGTTGTTCACAGATCCCTCATTTGGGTTCTGAGTGTCAAAAAAAAATGGTTACTTAACTGTTTTGATGCAAACATTTTTTATCTATTTCATCACTTTCAGGTTCAAAACCTCGCCATACTTCCACTGCTACTCCTCCTCCCTCTCCAGCACATCCATCTTCTTTGCCCATCCTCGCTCAGCATATTACTGCTGCTTCATTTCGACCTGACAGAAAAATATTGACGAAGGAAGCACTAGAAACCATACAGCACCTTTTCACATGGGCACCTATTCATCAGATTCCAGTTGAGATGATAAGGGCTATCTTCAGCTTCACTAATGTTACTTCTTATTCACAGGTTAGATTTTTTCAAATGGTATTAATTTCGAGGTATTTATTTAATTATTGATATTTTTTTGGTATTCAGTTTTGAAGTTGAATATATTTATTCAGGAATAAAAGAGTGTAGCTTTGAATTATTTTGAGAAAATATACAAAATTAAATGAAATTTCAGTAATTCCAATGATAAATATTATTGGACTGTTGAATTTTGAATCAATTTTTTCAAATATTTGTTTCGCTATACAATAGTTTTTTCAAGCGTGTCTATACTAGTTTAAATAAAAAAAGGTCATCCATACAAATTATGCAATAAAGACAACAATACTCGTGAATCATCAAATCATTAGGCAAATTGAAGCTGCAGAATATATAATGATTTTATGAAAACATGACAAATCTAATGCGACACCCTTGAAAGCATCATTTGATTTCCTTCAAATCTATTGATTTGTATTTTCAGTTGACACTCTAAACTGTACAAAGGATATTTGAGGTATCTCCTTTGGCGTTAATGATACCACATTTTGATACTGAACTATCAAAAACTCTTAGTCAGATTTCCATTTATATTATTAATAACCAAGTGTGTGGTTTTTTGAATGTCAGTTTGGGTTTTTTACTTTTAAATAATTAGTTGAATAGTTGGAAAGTACTCGGGAGGAGTTTTCCAACTGGGTATCTGAATCTAGCGGTGGAACTTACCAGCGCCTCTTATTTACTGAGTAACTTATTTAAATGAGTACTCGGCATAAAAAAGTGAGCCATGTAATTGAACTAAAATTCACATCTCAATCAGGAAGTGTCATAAAGGGTTATACGTGTCAATTGAAGAGTAATTTCTGCCTTGAATTTTGTTTACAGCCAGAAATTTGAAGGTTAGCTTAGTATCCTGATTCGTACTCTCAATAAAATGATTTATTACCATTGTTATTATAGATTTCACTTTGAGCTCATATTTATATGGTTTTAATATTTTTCTTGTTCAGGACGATGATGATACATGTGTCCTCGCCATGTCTACCCTCAACGAACTGTTATATAGAAAATGCACCCCTCCTGAGAGTCAAGACTTCTATTATCAACTATACCGCCAGACAGTTGACTGGTTAAATGAAGTTACTACCTCATCAACTCGAATAGATTCTTTAGATCCTGTGTAAGTTTTTATAGTTTGTATATATGGAATGTTTGAAAAAAAGATAATATAACTATTAGGTTGTTTGAAAAGTTTCGCCCGTTTTTATGAGTCTGCTGTAATATATCAGTGAATACTTATTCAATTAAAATAAGCGACATTTGAATCGGTGCTCTTTTGCCAATGTAACACAAGTCGAATAATACCATCAGAATAAAAATTGTGTTCTCGGGATTTGATGAAGTCGACGAAGGCCGTTTTTGCCTGGTTCTGATTGGCGAAGGTTCTACCAGTGTGAAATTTATCAAAGTGCTGAAAAATATGATAGTCAGTTGGCCAAAGGTCTGGGGTTAGGTTAGGTCCAAAGTGAGTGGGTCTATTCGACCCTCCACCGCACCCGCAAGGGTTTATTGTGGCTCACACCTATTCACACTCGACCAAATAAACCCAGCTTCTCAACGAAGCCGATTAGTTTTTTTTTTTGGTCCCTTGGGAGCTGTCTGACTTGTCCATTTAGTCCAAGTCTCAAGAAAACACTGCAGCCTCTTGGGCTTATTGCGTTTATTCTCCTATCTTCTTATGACACCCATTCCATCAGTCTCGTTCCCTGTACTAGTTTGTAAAGGTTCCATGTTGGATGTTCGGCATATTCTTCTGGACGTAATTTTGTACGTCCATATATTGCCTGCCTCCTGTGATTCAGTGCCTCACATTCGCATAAGATGTGTAAAGCTGTTTCTATCCCTTCGTTGCATAATCTGCAGCTGAGGTCTCCGTTGTACAGCCCCATTTTATTCAGGTGTCCTCTAAGCGAACAATGACCGGTTAGTAACCCTGTAATTATTCTGAGCCAATCCCTTCTATATGGAAGTAGTTCATCGGTTCTTTTCTCGGACTGTTCCCTAATGAAGGTTCTACTGTGTTTGTTGCCAGGTACTTTTGTCCAGTACTCTGTGTGCTTATTGGTCCATGTCCTAATCTGGTTTCGTACCAATGATTTTGGTACCCCCAGAGCTGGTTCAGGACCTATATATGAAGTTGATGATCCGTGTCTAGCGCATTTATCAGCTTTATCATTACCTGTGATTCCTGAATGCCCTGGCACCCAGTACAAAGTTAATTTGTTCCTGTTGCAAGTTCATCCAGTTCTTCATGCCATTCCCAGACCAGTTTTGATGACAGCTTTGGGTTTGTCAGAGCCCCTAGTGTGCTCTTGCTGTCTATTAAAATATTGATCCGCTCATTTCTTTGAGGTCTCAATTTAATAAGCCTTGCACACTGCAAGATAGCATACACTTCCGCCTGAAAGACGGATGTGTATAATCCTAGCGGATAACTGTAGTTTAAGCCAATTAGTTTGTATGGTGAGTGGTGTTTCAGGTTAGATAGTAAGAGTACGGCTCTGCCGAACAGTAAAATAAGTATTCAGTGAGATATGGAGCTACAAAACACATTACATTGAAACGGACAATACGGAAACAGCCTGATAGATGAGAAAAAATTAATATTGTATTAAAATATGTAATTATGTAATTAATTTTTGTTTTGTCGAAAGCGGTGTGGTGTTATTATAAAATATTAATTTCGTATCTTACGAAGTTATTGAATACAGACTCAGGTGATACTGATTTCAGATTTATGGAAAAATTATCAGAGTTGTTGGTTTTGCTGATAGAACATCACATGTGGAGGTTGGAGTTGGAGCCTAGTTTTTCGGCGCTGGAATTTTTATCTCCACTTTTTCAGCTCACAATGCACTTGCCAAACATACAGTGTTACTTGTGTTGCCTCACTGTATGGGCAGCGTTTATCAAGCAGATAAAATCACAAAACGCCAAAAAGTAAGTACTCGCCTCTGTTTGATTGAATAAGTTTGTTGGAATATTTATGTAAAATTATTTATGTAAAAAATTATGAACAAGCAATACGAATGAGCTGGTGTATTATCGTGATGCAAAAGCCGTTATCTGTTTTTCCACGATACCGGATGTTTTCTTCGTATTGCTTCTAGTTAGCGGCACATAACTCCCAAGATAATACTCCTTATTGACTGTACGACTATGTTGCAAGAATTCCTGATGCACTACGCCACAGTAATCGAAGAAATCAGTGAGCAAAACCTTGATGTTTGGTCGAACTTGGCGTGCTTTTTTGGTCTTGGCTCTCCTAGGCTCTTTCATTAAGACAATTCGACTTCGGCTTCTATATCATAACCCTATACCCTCCAGTTATGTCATTTCATCATAATTAGCAGAGATTATGCTTCTTACTGCAGATTTTTGAATGACAAATATTCTATTAAGATGTACCTTTGATGCATTATTTCAATTAATTATACCATACCTAAGGACTGAATGAAAAAGAGAATGATATGTTGCAAGTGCCGCAGTTTGATTTACTATTTTTTTATTTCTTCTGATAGCAAAAACTGTCTTACTAAGTTTACTATACATGTTATTTATATGGTCTATCCATTTCAGGTTGGAATCTATTTGTACTCCCAAAAATTTGGTAGAATTTTTGTTATCTCGATTTAAGCAAATTGTTTCGAAAGTTAGAGTTTCTGTTTTTTGTTCATTGAGAATCAAGTCATTTGGTGTGAACCATGATCGAGCTTTCTCTAATATGTCAGAATGGATCATATGGGGATCATCTATTTTATATATTTTTTTTGCCCAAAGTTGCATCATCTGCATACAAAATAATTTCTATGTCTGACGAATGAATGGTCAAAGGTGTTTATCAGATATGATACCATTACAAGAGTTTGACAGAACTAAAACTATATAAATTGTTAATATCCAGAAATACATTTTGAAAATAAAGTTACATTCCCCTGTACCAACTAATTCGAACCTACCTATATAAATGCAGGCACACCATAGGAAATATAAGTTATCTTATATTTCTGGATTACTCCGAAAGACATGCAAAATAACTTTAGCTGTTACTGAATGTAATAATTGGAAAAGTGTTGATGGCAACGACTTGTTTCCCACAGCAAACCCGAGTTTTATTTCTCATAAAATAAACAAAATTACAAAAAAGGGTAGGAATGCCTTTTGGGTATGCAGCTAAGAATACCACACGGACTGAATGCAAATTGCTCAGAAATTGCCGACGACCCACGTTTGTATAGCTATCTCTTTTTGATATACCAAACAAGAGCTCTCGCTGAATAAACCCAAATATTAACTATTTTGAACCAGTTTGTTTTTCTCTTTGTATTTAATAGTTTATGTAATAAGAAAAAGGCCATCCTCTTTGAAATATTCAATAATTAAAATATTACCTGCTGCTTTAATTTTTTTCAGATATTCGGATGTATTTATCGGATTAGTCACAGCCCTTTTAAGAAAAATACAATTTACTTGTAATTTTTCTCAACTCAATATGATAAATGATGCAGATACTGATGAAGATGTAAGATATATAACAGTAGCACTATGGATGTTCAAAAATATTAAATGTTTTGAACTTTTAGAACCAGACCGAGTGGGAAATTTTTTTGAAAACCACTGTGGAAATTATAGCTATAGTTGCGGAATACACCCCTATGGAAACTTTTGGACTAATTGTAAGTCAAGAATAGTTTGAAATGCTTATTCATTGCAAAAGTAAATTTGTCAGTTTTTCAAATGTCCGTTACCAACCGTTTTTACATAGTTTTTGCTATAAATATACCCCCGTTGATGGAATATTATTTATTAAAATATTTTACTGGTTTTACATATTCCTTGTGTATAATGAAAATAGTTGATTTTCAGTTATCACCTTGGAAAGTATGTTTTGATATCTTCCAAAACATGGAGAACACAGTGGATCATCAGAATCGTTCACTGAAATTTGGAATTCCCGAGACTGAAAATATATGTTATGTTCTAAAGGACTTCTCATCTCTCAGTCAAGCTCTCACCAGGATTTCTTCTGTTATTATTGACTCAGGTAGAGTATAGAAATGATTTTTACGCAAAAAAAATTACGAAAAAAGTTTCCGTAAATAAAATGGATTTATTGTTCCAGATAAAGAAGACCTTACTCATTCAAGTACACCAATAATGAATAGCCTTCTAGAAAAAATTTTAGAAAGTGCCTCATTAGCGAATAAAATAAGATTTTATGAATTGAAAGTTACTGATTCAAGGTTAACGGTCTGCTTTATTGAAATGTAAGTTTCCAGTCATTTTTATCAGTATTTTTATTATGATCTCAAATGAAAGGTAATGTGCTATTTAACGAGTCACATCAAGTGTTTCAAATTAAAAAAAAATCAAAAACATGAAATTAACAGGAGTCTCTCTCTTTCAACTTACTTATTTTAAATGAAACTTTTTCTTACACATTGAGCTTTTTATAATCTTCTAATAAACTATTTTCTTGTTGAAAATTAATCAGTTTTCTACTGAAAAAAACGTGTAATGCACGTAACATTATCAATAAAGCATTATTCGAATCAAAAATAGCTAGATTTTTCATCAGTTTGATAGACAGAAAGCGATTTCTCATTCGTCAATATTTTGCGAAGCTTGACTTTGTGAGGGATTGCTGTTGGAACCCTCGTTTCATCTTTGGTATTTATGGTTTGAGTTTTCTCTCTACCCCATAGATGGCGTTTTCGCCATTTCACATTAAAGTGTGTTTTTGGAATACGTTTTATTGAGTAAGCCTTGTTTTATGTCCTGAACTCACAATGTATACATAATACAATTAGAGATAGATAGCAAAAATTTAAAGAATAATGTGAGAGACATTAAAACTTCTATATATTCAAAAATATAACGCATTTGCTAATAAATGTTATGTCTTATTCATATCAATTTGTGTACTTAATATATTGACTTATAGGTATTACGCTTTACCTTTATTTAAATATTATGTACCATATTGTGCTGTTATAAATGAGATGCTACAGCTTCGTCTCTGAGAATGAATTCTTACCAAAGAAAATAAAATTGCCCTTTTCTTTTGCCTACGAGCAGTGGTATTGTCACTTCCGACCATCTCTGATTCTCCGAGCCAGACCTGTAGCAAACAAATTAGCGCCAATTTGTTTCTTACAGGAGAAAATATATTCATAACTTTTCAGCCATAGCCAGCTGCTTTCAGCCCTGAAAAGCTTGCTGGTCTGGATAACTCAGAAGGAATCTATGAACAATCACAACCTCAAATTAATCCTCGACTTAACACTGCCACTCCTGCGCTGCGGCACGACCGTCCCAACAAAAATCAGCCACTCTGCTGCCCACCTATTGTATGGATTCACAAGTGTCATATATGCACCCCATCTAGTGGTCATACCCGCTGTTGTGCAGTTCATTCACATAGCGCCAACGCTAAAATTCTGTGATAGTCAAACCAGTTTAATCGTCAACAATTCCGTAAGTAATTTATTGCTGAGATCTTGGGGAACTTTGAGCCAAGAAGATACTGCGCAAAGGAACGCATTCGTAACAGTATTTTTCGAGAATCTCACTAAAGATTTTAGGGAGTTATCGTCGAGTACTCATGAAGAAAGAGCTAGACATATCGTGGAAAGAGTTCTGCCGTCGCTGTCATGCATTATTGAAAATTGTCGGCATTTTCCCATGGCTTCGAAGAAGCTTCTAACTGCCGCTATCAAACCAACCGTACAGCAAGCTTTGTACTTGTTTCCTTCTTTCGTTAGATATAAAGAGATAAGCAATCACATCCTGAATTTCTTTTTGAACGTAATAGGGGTACTCCAACAGCAATTGGGCATCGAAGACACTAAGAATGCCGTACAGGTATTCTTGCAGATTACGATGCAACAGCAGACGAGTGCTCTCTGCGGACTTGATAAACTTCTTCAGATTCTTCAGTTGGTTGTGGAAGTACCTGGCACTTCTCACAAGTCATTTCTTCCTGGAATTCTCCAACTCTGCATGGAAAGCATTTATCCATCGATTGTATCACAGGCCGCAGATTGTCCAGATATATTTGTTGCTCTATTGACTTTATTGTACAGGTGAGTATTTTCAGAAATAATACTGAAAGTAAGAGTACATTTATGAAATAAATGGTGTTCAGGTGATTCTATTATATTGAAAAAATGCACAATTTGTGTATCTAAAATAAATGGACCGTGTAATGAAAACAAAATGAGATTTCTACTGTTCTGTACAACCTAATTACTTTTATTTTTTCAATTCACTAGAAAGTAACCCCATGTTCCGATTTTGTGTCAATTTCATAAAATTGTCCAGTACTTTATTATAGTGTAGAAACTTTCAAACCATAGAAACTACAGTAAATACATTGAAATATCAAACAATAGTAAAATGTCTTCAGTTGGTTTGACAATCTCAGAAATTGCCGACGACCCACGTTTGTATAGCTATCTCTTTTTGATATACCAAACAAGAGCTCTCGCTGAATAAACCCAAATATTAACTATTTTGAACCAGTTTGTTTTTCTCTTTGTATTTAATAGTTTATGTAATAAGAAAAAGGCCATCCTCTTTGAAATATTCAATAATTAAAATATTACCTGCTGCTTTAATTTTTTTCAGATATTCGGATGTATTTATCGGATTAGTCACAGCCCTTTTAAGAAAAATACAATTTACTTGTAATTTTTCTCAACTCAATATGATAAATGATGCAGATACTGATGAAGATGTAAGATATATAACAGTAGCACTATGGATGTTCAAAAATATTAAATGTTTTGAACTTTTAGAACCAGACCGAGTGGGAAATTTTTTTGAAAACCACTGTGGAAATTATAGCTATAGTTGCGGAATACACCCCTATGGAAACTTTTGGACTAATTGTAAGTCAAGAATAGTTTGAAATGCTTATTCATTGCAAAAGTAAATTTGTCAGTTTTTCAAATGTCCGTTACCAACCGTTTTTACATAGTTTTTGCTATAAATATACCCCCGTTGATGGAATATTATTTATTAAAATATTTTACTGGTTTTACATATTCCTTGTGTATAATGAAAATAGTTGATTTTCAGTTATCACCTTGGAAAGTATGTTTTGATATCTTCCAAAACATGGAGAACACAGTGGATCATCAGAATCGTTCACTGAAATTTGGAGTTCCCGAGACTGAAAATATATGTTATGTTCTAAAGGACTTCTCATCTCTCAGTCAAGCTCTCACCAGGATTTCTTCTGTTATTATTGACTCAGGTAGAGTATAGAAATTATGTTACATTCAAAATTTTTATTTTTATGGTAGGACTCTAGATATTTTTATCAATCTACTAGCTTATATTCTGATTTCATGTACTTGACTATGTTTTTTCTTTTTCACAAAAGCAATGTTCACCAAAGCTTTGTCTTTGGACAATAAAGCATATTCATTATTATTAATGTCAAAAACTAGTAAAAGTAACCAGCCATAAGTCTGCAACGTAAATGCACTCATTTACACAATGTCTTATGTAATTGTATTATGTGAAATTGTGTTAGGTTTCCATAATTCTGAATAAAGATTCTCAAAAAATTTAAAGATGGTTTCTCTATTGATTTTAGTATTTTACTTCATCGTTGGCAGTATTTCTATGCCTCACAAGTGAAGTTGGGCTACTCTCCTGGATGTAGCGATTCCGGAATTGGTCCAGATCATCCCCAGAAACCAGAGCAGCTGCTGGCTGTTCTCCAGGTATTTGGTCAGGCTTTATTGCAGCAAGATATGAATATTTTCCGACTGAGTCTAGCAGCTCTAGAAGATCTGAACGGAAAATGGAAGTTGTATCACAAGGTAAAAGATTTTTACTTTCAGCTTCTTTTTGCATGTTTTTCTCAAATGTAAACGTACCAACACGAAATCATTGACTTTGAAAAATTACCAAAAAAAAATTTTTCCCAGATTTTGTTTCGCAATCACCTGTTACCCGAGTTCCTGACAGTTCTTCTGAATTGTTTGTTGGATAAATCTCAAACTTCGTTGTCTGAAGATATTCAGGTAGCTGTATATAATATGGCGGCCGTGAACTTTGACGTTTTTTTTTCAACGTTTGTTAGACAATTCATACAAAATATGGAAGGAATTTCACTGCAGCAAAGGGAAAATCTGTTGAGGAATTTTGTTCATAATCATGATACGGTAAGTTGAACAAAGATGATTCAATATTTATAGCGATTTACAAAATGATAATGTCAAAATGTATGAAAATATGAGAATGCTTCAATATTATGATTGTATTTATAAATTATCCTGACTAAAAATTCTCATTATTCCGTTCGTATGTTGATGCTAAAATGTTTGGGTGACCAAACTAACCATTTTTATTTTATTTCAGGATATGCCTACGTTTGTACATAATTTACAAAATTTTATAAGTGAAGCTCAACATCATAGAGCGTGCAATATGAATTCTCCAAATAGTTAAAAGGTACAATAATATTTATACAGTTGCTTGGACTTTTTTCAGTTTGATACAAAAGCTCAAAAAATATGTGTAAGTGATATGTGAATAAAATGTATTTTGTAAATCAGTGAAGCTTTTTTTTTTTCATTTTACCACCATAAATGAGAGTTGTTGGTTGGACTACTACTGACATCTGAATCATCATATGCAGAGCAATTTTGTTGTAGTTGAAGTTATTGACATTATATTCTAGGGTTGTGAAGCATTTGTCAGGATCCTCAAAAAGATATGTCACAAGACACCCCTTTCCATTTGATTTTTTTCCCAGATGGCGCCCAGTCGCCATCTTGAAAGTTTCATCTGTCAATTTCACTGCAAAATAAAGTATCCATGCATTAATTTAATTATCCACAATTTCAATTTTTTGAGTTGACCCCTTCAAAACATAAAAGGGGGGGACATTAAAGAAATGCACTGTATAGCTTACCTATTAATGGTAGTTCAATTGACCATAGTCATTTAATTTATATTCTCAATTGTTAGGTATATCATCACAACTCATTCTTATGAATATTTTTTCTACTTCTTTATTATTTTATTGTTGTTTATAGTCATATAAACAATTGTTTATTATATTTTTCTTGTGGTATACCACTGGTGATGCTGTATGGAAGAGCAATTGAGTTGGAAACCACATCCCTGTTTAAATTATGCAACACAATAATATATTTTGGAAAAAGTGAAGATTCTATTATATATTTCGGATTAACGATAACATGGTATGTAGGATTAACGTGATGCTTAGTCAAATACTTTTTCAAAAAACCAATTAGTCGAGCTTTCTTATCCTTGTGTGTGTGTGACACACCAGCCCAGCAACGGTGAGGATGTTCAGTTCCTTAAACGAATTATTGCCCGATTGACGCCACTGTACACCAGACATGGTGCAGTTACCATTTATAATCCCTAATGCTCAAAAAAAAACAGTTTGTCACAAGGAGAATCGATATAAAAAAGGCGACAAAACTGAGGTAGACAACTACAGACAGATATCTTTACTTTGTTCCCTCTCTAAACTGTTTGAGAAAGTTGTTAGTAACAGAATTATGAATTAGATGGATCAAAATGATCTTTTTAGTAATAACCAATATGGCTTCAGGAAGAACAAATCAATTGAATCAGCTTCATACCATTTATTAAATTTCATTTATACACAGGTTGACTCGAATAAACTAGTTGTAACACTTTTTTTCGATTTGTCAAAAGCATTTGATACCATTTCTTCCGAATTTCTTATAATTAAACTTGCAGGCCTAGGTTTCCCAAATAATCTANAATTATGTAACTTCATTTTGAAACATATCGATTCTTTTTCGGTTGTACCCAAATCTGATGTTAATTCGTATTCATCTGGAAATAAAAAAAATTTTTAATTACATTTTTTGTAATACCGATAAGTCAAATGTATTACACAGGATCAGATAGAGTTCCACCAACTTCCTCTGATCTTTTTTTTACAAAATAATATAGTTATGGGAAAGAAAGGATTGGCTTTTTACTTCATCTTTATACTAGAATATATGGGAATTTTCCAAAGAAAGGAAGAAAATAATTCATTTTGGTAATGAACTCTTCACAAATTTGTGTAGGTGATGCAAAGAAGTAACTTTCAGACACAAACTGGAAGAGAAAACCCTCTCGAAATAACTAATTTCATAAAAACAATTACTTGCTTGAAAAAAAAGTACTTTCCGAACAACTACTTCTATATGAACATTGAGTATTCCAAAAAACAAACTTTTTCTTATTCAGTTTGTATTCCAAACATTCGTTATAGATATATAATGGAAATGGCCGATACTTCATAAAAATCCATAACTAACGTATTCAAAAAACACTTTATTGTGAGATTTTCACTAAACGATTTTACAAAAACACAACCCGTGATTCGCCATACACGTGTTGCATTTTTGTAAAATCGTTTAGTGAAAATCTCACAATAAAGTGTTTTTTGAATACATTCGTTATAGAATTGAATCAGATACCATTCGAAGGATTATTACACAATATACTACATGAAAGAGGTAATATTTCGCTCACATGGAACACTGTCATCCTCAATGGCGGACATCGATGTTTCGGAATAAGACACTTGCCTTATTGCCTCTTCAGCACCAATCTACATAACAGTGCAAAATAAAGCACCCGATTTATTTATAAAATTTCATTCCCTCCCTCATATTTTTGTATGAAGACGGAAAAGTAGAAAGCCAAAAATTGATCTCTCCTAAAAATATACCCTTTTCAATTCAGACTAGGCAATGTTTTTCTTTTCAATATTTAACTGTTTTGTTACAAAGCTCATACATAAATGTCTTTTAAAGCTATAATACTACATACCTCATCTGATGAACTGGCCGATCTTTTCCCTCTAACGCCCATAAGTCTATACGGAGTCCTCTTATACTGGCCATCAGTACTAGCGCCATCCCATTGTCTCTCTTGGAAACTCTCTAATCTAGCAAGATATTCAGCTAGCAACTTGTTCTCATAGGGTCGCATGCTCTGATGTTCATCAAACAATTCTAGAGGCAAGTCGCGCATATCGAGTCTGCTAATGTCATAAAATGGATCTGCCTTTTTGCCTCGTACCGCGACAAATCCGTAAGGAGTCCCCAAAGTAGCGTTAATGAACATCATGCAGAGACATACTATTATGAAAAAGGCCATGTTCGAACAGACTACTGAAAGGAAAATTTTGAATATAATAGTTATATTCATTCCTTAGGAAAATTTCAATAATTATTACAATTAACATAATGTTTATAATTATAATGAAAAGTATTCAGAGAGTTTCATTGTTATTCTGTCATGCGTGTTTCGTTTATGGACTAGCAGATGGAACTGCTGCAGAAGCCCGTCGACTCTATCGAGAAAGATGTCTGTCTACATTTCCTGAAGACGTCAATATCTGAAAAGTGCTAGTTTTGGATTTATCTACGTCAGAGGTTCCGGTTTTACGTTTTGCTGAAAATTTTATGCACACGAACAAATATTTATTTACTGCCAACTCTTAAAATCGTGGAAAAGTTAACGAAAAAGAGAATCCTAAATTTTCTTGACCAAAAAAATATTCTTCAGCCCATTGCTTTTTTAGAAGAACTTTACCTTCGACTGAATGTTGGTGAGGCTGCAGTGGCAATATTTTGTGATCTGACAAAAGCATTCGAGTGTGTTGATCACAAAATATTGCTTCAAAAACTTGAAATATACGGATTTAGAAGAAACATCTTGTGGTTTGAGTCATATATATATCAGATGGCGTTCAAGTAGCGGATTTCAAAAGTTCATCTTCAGATAAGTGAGCATTAAATGCGGAGTACCTCAGGGATCTGTCCTCGGCCCTTTGCTGTTTTTATTATATATAAATGATCTGGCATATATATATGGATTGAAGGCAAATTCACAAGTTTTGCTGACGACACGTCTATACTTTGGCATGGACTAAAAATTAGGGTAGAGCACGGTATAGGCAAAGTTAAACAATGGTGTGATGCCAATTTATTATCTTTCAATATATCAAACACTAATATAATGTCCTTTAAATGTAACCTGGACCATATAATTCTTGAAAAACATATCATTAATCAACAAATTGAAATTTGGAACGCATATTAGCATATGCAAAAAATTATCCTCAAGTTGTTATGCGATAAGGTCTATCTGCGACTCTTTTTTGACTATCACTCTGCTAGAAAAGCATACTTTGCACTTTTCGAATCCCACTTGCGGTACGGAGTTTGCTTCTGGGGAAGCATCTGTCAAAACTTAATGAGTCAAGTTTTCAAAATTCAAAAAAGAGCAGTAAGATTCATTACCAGAGCTAGAGTCCAAGATTCCTGTAAGCCCCTTTTTCCAACTCATCACATCTTAACAGTCTACTGATTCTTTATTTTAGAAACAGTCTGGGTAATGCACAAAAATAACATCTCGAGCTCAACTCAAAGTTATGCCAAAAATTGAAAACTCGATTCTTTATAATAGTAAAAAATATTTCAATCATCTCCCCCTTTCAATCAGAAAGTTAACCTGCTACAAACAGTTTCGAAAAAGAGTAAAAAATATTCTGCTAGATAAAGTTTATCAGATTTTTACCATAGACTTTTTGACGTGTGCTTGAGCCATATTAATATCTTGTTTTAATTCTCGACCTTTATTTTAATATTTCAGATTGTTTTAGTTCTTAAGCCTGCTTTGTCAACAAACCCTAAACTTTCATGACAATAAAGCATTTCTGACTCTGACTCATCATAAATTTGAACACTGAATTAATTACAAAATAATAAACAAATTGCAAACGCCCATAATTAAGAGCCTCCTTTTGACTGAGAGTCTAGTTAAAATTTCCTTACCTGCAACTAAAATTTTCTGCTTCTACAAACGAGTTTGATGACAATCCAGGGAAACAATTTTCCATCACAATTTATATACGGCTCAATATGTTTGTTAACTGTATCGTGGGGATAACTAATTGACATATCTTGTATGATCACTTAAGTGAAAAATCAACAACATATCTAGGTATATTGATCTTGTTTTCATTGGGGGAAAAATCTGGTGCAGATAATTCGTGAAACTATCAGTATGAATATTGAAATATTGTGTAATGACTTAGATATCTGTCTCTCTTTGTTTGAACAGTTCCAATCAACATACCAAATCCATTTTCTAGTAATGGAATCTTCTGGAACCGGTGAGAGATACAAGCAATTGAAGGGAAATGAACACAACGAAATATTTTTTATGCTTTAAAAGCAACTCAAGTATTTACAACTGGTATTCAGGTATGATACATTATTAGGTTGTTTCTGAAGTTTTGCCCGTTTTTATGAGTATACTTCAAACTGTAATATATTAGTGAATAGTTATTCAATTAAATCGAAATAAGCGGCTAATGAACTTCGGTTCCACAGGCTTCATGGCCAAAATTTACTAAAAAATTGCATGGCATGAGCAAACCCATATGCTGACATCCTCAGCAACTTCTCTAATAGTGATTCGACGAGTCTACATAACAATTTACTTCACTTTCTCATAATTTTCATCAGTTGTTGATGTGCTGGTGTGTCCACGACGAGCGACATCATTCACATCTTCACAATCTTCTGCGAAAAGCTTTTGTTAACATTTTCCTGAGTCAGAGTACAATCACTGTGTGCCTGTCAACATACCAAATGTTTTTGAGCAATTAATTCCATTTTTACACAAAATTTTATGCTAATTCTTTGACACATTTTTTTTTAGCAGAAAATTGCTTAACACGCAGAACATTTCTAACTTCCATGCCTCTCATAAACAAACTAAACAGCTGAAACTGTGAACATATGTTCGAGACGAGTGTACCAACATAAAAAAATCGCTAATCGAATGTAGGTAACCCGCGAAATTTGAACATTCATCTTATTTTCTGAACAACCCACGTGTCTTGAGAATTTATCAAAGCAGGTAGGGTTCTTTGCTTCTCTAGTATGAACATTTTTTTTGGAAAATAAGTTATGATAATTTTAGTTTTTACAAAGTATTGTTGAACTCCAAAAGAGTTCAGCTTTTATTTTTGGTTTTTATAAATGATCTTGCGAAATTTTGAAGATTTTCAGACTCATTGAATCAACCGAGGACTGTCCTATTCTGCAGAAGGAAGTTATTTCGATACAAGAATGGTGCATACTTAACAAGATTCCAGTGAATATTCAAAAATGTAAATTTATGAAATACACCCTCAAGCATAACAATATACAGTTTGACTATGCAATAAATGGCGTCATATTAGAACAAAGCACTGAAACTAAAGATCTGTGCATCATATTCGATAAGAAACTTAGCTTCACGTCACAAATTAATCAAATCACATCTTCTGCAAAAAAATACTTGGCCTTATCTTCAGGACGTGTAGAGACTTTCAAAACCAAGAATGTTTTATAATACTTCCGGACATATGTCCGATCTCGCCTGGAATATGGCTTCCTAATCTGGTCACCTATATACAATGTGCATATACAGCAACTCAAATCTTGTCAAATTTTTATGAAATACATGGCTTACAAACTGGATGGAGCTTACCCATCCCAAGGAATTGATAATAGTGTTCCTAAATAGATTTGCCCTCTTATCCTTAGAAAACAGAAGAACATATTATGCCTGTATCTTCATATATACCTTATAGTAGATTGATAGTATCAAAGAATCACCCCATGTGCTGTGGGTTAAGCTATACAATAAGGTTAGTGAGGACATTAAATCCTCAAATATCAATGACTTTAAAAGGCGACTCAAGATTTACCTGTTGCAAAAAATATACTACACTGTGGATGGGTTTCTCCTTGAATCCTAATTTGAGTGTAGCTTATTAACTTTTTTTATGTATGTTTTATATTCACTTTTTTATGTTTGTTTGACCTGTTGAATCAGCCAGTATTTTATGATGATGTTATGCTTTTTTGTCTAATGTGATTGTGAAGGAAAACTGATTCAATATAAATGTTTGATTGATTGATATAAAAATTCTACTAATACAGCCTATTACGAAACATACAAGTTCACATCTTAAATTATCTTTTGAAATAAAACTAGATGGAACAATTCAACAAGTGGAGTCATAACCAATAACTACATTTCAAATCCAAATGTTTTATTGCAAACTCTTCTGTAACAACCTACCTTATGTACCATTCCTTATGCACTTTATGCACCATATTCGGAATTTTCCGCTTTCCCACTCAGAAATTAAAAACCAACTTTTTCAGATAGATACTCTTATGTTTTGATATAAATTAAAATCACAAATCTATGGATGTAATGATTGATACAAATAAATTAACTTCTCAACATCTTTATAATTAAAATTAGTCCACATTTGAAATGTAACAAAATCAGACTTTAAATAAAGGTTCAGTATATTGCCTGCTATACTCATCTCCAAAAAACTCTCAATATGGATGCAAAAAATTAAAAATATATAAAATTTTCAAAAAAGCTTCAACATAATCAACTTACAGTGATGTAAACATAACCACGAAATCATTTTCAAAATATCGTGCCTAGACTTATAAATAAAAAATTTGTTGAATAAACCTACTATACTAAATTATCCATTTAAAAATTTGTTAAATTGCAAGAGAACATTTCAGACTGTTCGCTGCCCATTTTCCTAATAAAAGTTGTTGTACAGACAAAGTCGAATCTGAAATTTTCATTTGCAAGCCTAATCTCCTCTTCTTCAGATACTGTTTATATTTGTTGGAGTTTGACAGTACGGACATTCACTTTGTGTACTTGCACAAGTATCGCACAAAACAAAGTGATTGCAACTCAACGTTACAGTTCTATTGCGTTCCTCGCATACCATGCATTTAGAAGCTGTCTCCCTATAAAGAACTTTTTCAATTTCTTCAACGTCTTGCCTGAGTTGAGCGTGTAGAGATTTTAAAACACTTAAAGACAATTTGCTCAATTCTGATACTTTTGTTATGCTACGAATGAATGGTCCACCTTGTAAAGATTCATAGTCTTGCTTCAAAGCACTATACTGAGTCATTGTTTCATTGAATTTGCTCTCTATTTGTTGGGTTTTTCTACTGGCATCCTCTGCTTCCCTTTGCCAAGCATCACATGTTGTTCTAACTTGTTGGTAACGTTCTTCCCAAGTGCTCAATTGTATCCTATATGTTGCTAATTCCTCACGTAATCTGAGGACAAGACAATTCGAAAATAGTGACACTTCAAAAACAGAGAGACTTAATACAATAAAGACATGAATTGCCCCCCTTCCAACTTCCAAGAGGAATGAGGAGTGGGGTAAATTTAGGTGGTATGATAGTTGTTGGAACTTTCAACAAAACACAATATGAAGGTCTAATGGTGCTAGAGACACTTTTCACTAAAACAAATCAAATGGATAGATGGTCATGCGATTCCCCCTTTGAAAGACATTTCAATAAACTTTAGTTTTTGGAACTGTGATAATCAATTGCAAAATTATTGACACCGACATATTAAAAAAAAAAATTGATAGATAGACATATTATTTATTGTCCAAAAAAATACAAACTTATTGATAAAGCTTGTTAAAAAGATAGCACTTCAAAGAATAAAAGAAAAGAAACAATTCAAAAACACAAATACCCAGAAACACAATTTGAGCAAAACAAAGTTCATATATCTAATAGATGAAATATAACGAAGGTAAAATTTAACAAAGGTTGTAGACAAAATAGTATGTATAGTCCCTTTCAAAAGATGTAAATAACAAATATACAC